TGTAAATGATTGTAGTTTAATATTTTTTTTATTTATTAAAAATACATATATTAATTCAAATAATTTTACAGGTACCATATGGTTTTTGTACATTTTACTGGAATTGATAATCACAAGAGGTGTGTCACTTTTGGTGCTGGCTTGTTGAGCAGAGAAGACACTGATTCATATACATGGTTGTTGAAATCTTTTCTTAAAGCTTTTGGCAAACAACCATTGTTGGTTTTATCCGACCAAGACCCTGCAATGAAGAAAGCCATCGAATCTGTTTTCCCACAATCGATTCATAGGCTTTGCATGTGACATATCACATCTAAATTGCCATTAAAGGTATTTATTCTTGTCAACATGTACTGATAAATATTATAAATTTGCCAATTAAACAATTGTTTTTTTAGTGTATTCAAACAAGAATTTACAATTCCTATAATTGATTACAATTACAAATTCCCAGGTTTCTTTGAACATTGTCAACAATCCAGAATTTTGTAAAAAGTTTAACTTCTTGATATGGAATTCGAGGCTAGAAGTTGATGAATTTGAGTTAGGGTGAAAGTCCTTATTGAATGAATATAAACTCACAGATAAAAAATGGTTGGATGATATGCATGGATTGAGACATTTTTGGATACCTGCATTCTTCAAGCATGTACCTTTATCAGGATTAATGAGAACCACATCTCGTTCTGAAAGTGAGAATTCAGCATTTCACCAAAACACTCATTATGGTTCTACTCTTGTCCATTTTATGATTTCTTTTGAAGCTGCTATGGAGAAGCAAAGATTCACGCAATCATCATTTGACTTCAAAACTAACGACAAACATCCAACAATGAGGACACCATTTGAGATTGAGAGGAATGCATCTTTGTTTTACACTCGTAGTGTTTTTCGTCAAGTTCAGAATGAAATGTACTTGTCTATGGTTTCATGTTCACAAATTTGTATCACCACATTTGAGGATGTTGATGAGTGTCTTTCAAGGAATTTATTCATTATATTCCTTCTAATTCAAATGGTTCTCATATTGATGCAGAAGTTGAAAATGATGATCAATGGGATATACTTATACGTGAGTCTACTTACAAGGTAATCGCTCTTGAAACTTATACTTTTAATCTATTAATTTTTATATATTTTTTTCTAAATTTTCTATAATTTTTTCAATCCAGGTTACACACAATAAGTCTGAACAAACATTTAAATGTCCTTGTATGAAGTTTGAGCAGTTTGGTATTTTGTGTCGCCACATTTTTACTGTAATGAAGTCATATAACATCAAAGAGATTCCTTCTAAATATTTATTCAGACTCTGGCAGAAGGACATCATACCCACATAACTATTGAAAAGGTGTTTTCGTTATGCTGATTCTGACGAGAATAGCCAAAGAGTTGCACCTGATATATTTTCTACTGTTGATAACTATGTATCTTCTCTCAGCAACAATCACACCAAATTAAAAGAATACTTGCAAGAAATAAAGCAGCTGGAAGAAAAGTTCCTTTCCAATTTCACAACTCATGATAAAGGAAACAAGAATAAAGATTTTGAAAAAAAAACTTGGTGTTACCATTCCCATTGATGTGGAAATTCACAATCCAGGTGAAATCCACAACAAATGAAGTGGTACTAAAAAAAGAATGAAAATTTCAAGAGAGGTTGCAACAGAAAAATCAAAGGGTTCCAGATGCAGTTATTGTCGCAATGACAACGATCATGATTGGCGTAATTGTCCTGTTAGGAAAGAAGATGAAAAGAACAACATTTTCAGAGAACGTCCCGGAAAGAAGAACTAATAATAATTAGCATTTGTGGTCGCTTTTGCTATGGCCACCCCTAAAAATAATCACACACCACGGTAACAAGCATCTCTCTCTCTTTCTCTACCAGTCTCTCTGATTGTGTGTTTGTGTGTTTATGTGTGTATGATCTGTCTACAGGCTTTATATTATAGTTTTAGTTTTTTATTTCAGATCTGATTTGAATTTTTGGAATGATAGGAACCAATGGTTGTTCTTTCAGGTTTTTGATTTCAGATATGTCTTCAGGCCTTATAATGAATTTTTGGAGTCATTTACTTTGTACAGGTAACTATTATCATTTTAAGGTATCCTCTCAAATTCAATTCTCTGTTTTATGGACGACTGTCTATTCATCTTCAATCATGATCTTTAATTTGCATTTATGAGAAGTCCTTAATGAAGGACATTGTGGAAACATAATGTTGAAATAGTAATGGGATCACCTTGGAACAGGGGACCCAAAATATGAAGCTAAATGAAGATTTACTTCTCCGGTTCAAATTTCACAAAAGAGATTTTTCATTTATTTTGATCCTCTTTTCTGACACAACCATCTCTATTCATTGAACTAGGGCCAAACTACAGGTATTCCATATCTCTTCGTTGTAAGCTCTAATTCAAGTTCTGACTGATGTTATTCTTTACAAATGTGTTGTTAAATTTGTTTGTTTGAGTCTTGTGTTCAATGTTTGTACTGATGTTGTTTTCATGCAATATTTCATACAATATAATGAATCCAACGATTGGGAAGGTGAAACTTCTTCATAAATGGACTACTAAAAAATTTAGGTCAATATTCATTGGTTTCTCTTTTGATTTCCAATATGAAAATGAAGATTGAATCTGAAAATGTTCTATCGATTTTTGTTTTTTTAGTTTCTAGGTGATATTTTTATTTTGATTTATGTCGTTTATCATATGGAAACAAACACGTGAAATATGGTGTAGTTGTAAAGCCACACCAAATGGAATTTCTATTGATTTACTTTGTGTAATTTCACAAAGAAACTGGTGCAAGTAATAAACTTCTCTTTAATATGGTGCAATTGTGGGGTCATGTTTTTGATCCATGACCACTACTTCTATTACAAGATCGTCTTGATGGTATTGGTATTGGTAAACTTGAATGGTACGAGCAAGCCTCCTCAAATTGATGGAAAACTTTTTGTAATAACTCCTAAAAACAGTGAAAAGCAACCATTGGAGTTCTATAATGAAATAAATATTTGCATTGAATTGACATGCTAGATAAGAAAATGAAAGTAAATTCTCATTTCTTGCATTTTGCCTAATCATGGGCTAAATGCTTTAAATTGCAATGTTCGTTTCATTTTTTTATCTAATATAATATCTTAATTTAATTTCTGTTTTGAAATCAAAATAGAAAAAACTTTTATTTTTAACATAAACTATAAACATATTATTATTTTTTATCTAATACCAAAACATACCTTTATTTTAAACCGAAAAACACTAACATATTTTTACTAGTCAATGTTCATTGGATTTCGTTGAATGCTTATGTTGTAGTTTTTAACAAATGTCGTATATAGTTATTTTTATCTCCTATACATATAGTACTCTGATCATTTATATTGAAAAATGAGAGTTTGAGTATTCGTTTGTAACAATATAGACTGAAAATAAAAACTTAGAAAAGGAGAGTTAGAAACACACCATATTTTGGAGATAAAAAAACAAGGTTGAATATTTGAAACTCACAACCCATCAAACTGGTGAAAGTTCTGGAACAAGTATAGATGCTAAAGTTATTTGGAGTTAACATTATTAGTGATTAATTGCAATTTGTAAGGAAGGAACACAAAAGTGGATTTACCAGTGTTTCGGGATTGTAACTTGGTTAATAATTAATGGTTTTCTGGTTTGATCTAATAGCCGCAACGAAACTCTTCGCCAAAATAAATAAGTCAATACCAGGAAACTATTTGTCGCCGCCGCATTGCGCGGGTAAACGACTAGTATATATATATATATATATATATATATATATATATATAACTTTTAAGAAAATACAAAAATATATAATAAAATATTTTTTCCCCACAAGATACAATAAAATAATAACACTATGATTTCTAATTTTGGTTTTATAGTTGTTGGGTTTCAATTTATCAAAGTACAGCTCCATTTACTCACTCTCTAAAATTATATGAATAATTACTTACAAAATAACAGCAATATTCCCTCATAATTTTCATCCAAATCAGGTTCATGTAGACTGACTGGTTCAGACCTGGTCATGTAAGAGTCCAACTGAGTCGTGGACCCCGGTCTGGCCACCGAGTGCAGCTGTCCGAGTTGCCATTTTCATTTCGTGTCGTACCTCCTGCTTCTTTCTTAACCCCCGCCAAGAATATAAAACCCCCCTAAAAAAAGATATCCCTTTCTAAAGAGGCAGAAATACAAAATCCAAGTCATATTATAATTTCCATTATATAAAGTATAAGTCGGTGAAGCTCTAATGCTCTGGAACTTTTGATTCCTGCCCTGGAAAAATAAATTACCTAAAAAGAGCAGGAAAGAGACCGAACTCTTCTTTTGAGACGAAACTTATGGACAAAAAAGAATTAACAATGTTCCTTGTGCATTTTTATAATATTTTTAGTTTTACATAAATCTAATTTTAGTTTAAATATTATTCGAAGGATGTTTGCATCTGTATTTTAAAATTACAAAATATCTATAATTATGTAATCAGTTACAATAATTTTTTTTTATATAAATAGAGTGTAAATATGTATTTTAATCATAAATAAATAATTTTAAAAATTCGTGTATGAAACATCTGCTTTTTCTATCAATTATATTTTAGGTTATCGTATTTATCAATGAATTCCCCTATAAAATTCCTAGTAATTATTTTATTCATAGTAAGTATTACTTATATTAGTCTTATAAAAACTTCTAATTTAAAATAATAGGTACTTCTAATTTAAAATAATAGGTAGTAAATTGAATATTGTTTTTCCATTAATATACATTATGTTATTGTTATTAAATTAAATTTTAATTTTTTTAATATTTCATTATCTTTAGAAAATTAAATTAATAGACATTGAATATAAAAGATCGAATGTCGACCACCACTTGCACTCAAACTAATTAGAATATTATGGAGAAAAAGATATTCAAGTAGCAATATATTTTCAATAAAATAATAGAAAAAAAAGGGAATACAGAAAATTTTTGAAAAAAGAAAATGAACATTGTTAGCTTCGATTCCGATGGGCATGGAAAAAGGACAAAATTCGCTTGTCTCAATGACAGTGCTCTACTCACTGATGCTTATTCTTCTCGCTTTTCTTCTGTCCTTTTCACGCTTCCCTCCTCCTCTCAATCACTTTCCCAAAACCCATTTCCCTGATCTCCCTCCTCTCGATTCACTCATAACCCATCGTTGGATCATCTCCATCAATCTGCTTTTACTTCTTCATCTGGATAGCCTTCTTTCTCTCGCAATTTCGACGTTCATTGAGCTTTTTCATGCCTAGTCCCAGCTCCCGTTAAAGACCCAGATTTCCCCATACGGGTTCTTCGAATTAGGGTTTTTTTAAGTTCGTTTCCGTGTTGGGGAGACCTTGTAAGGGGATTTGTTTTCCAATTAGTCAAGAAATAATGCCTGTTGCAGGCACTGGAATGGTTGCTGAAGAGGGAAGAGCACCCTACTCGTTTGCTTTAGAATACGAAGGTCCCCCAATACCACACCATGATCTTCCGCGAGCTGTTCCAATTGATATTCGTAAGATTCCTGTGGCTGCGGTTGTTCACAAGTCACGCTTTCCTGATAACACTGGTAAACACTCTATGCCTATTGTACAACCCATTCTTGCATCCGACATCGCCACCAACTTCGCCAAATTAGGTACTACCGATACTATTATTTCTCCAACTTCTGTAATTTCTTTTAGAAACGAAGAAAATTGTAATGGTAATGATTCCGTTTCCAAAGACCTAGGGTTGGGTACCGGTACTGAAACCGAAACCACTGTTTCTCCGGCTCATGACGGTGGGTTTGAGGAAAGAAGTTCGAGTAATCCCGACGTGTTCATTAGTTCAGGTGAGTTTCTGGATATGATTAACAGCTCGGCTGGACTTGGGTCGTCTTCTGTGAGCCAAGATCACTCATACGAGCTATCCGGCAGGGGTGAGAGTTCAGGTACTTTAGGATTCTCCGATAGTTTTGATAAGTCGAGAGATTTTTCCGGAAATTCACTAGCGTTTAGAGCTTCAAACGCTTGCAAGGAGAGTCTAGATTTCAATGAATTGAATCAATCCGATTGGGTGTCAAATGGGTCAAGGTTGAGCTTCGACTATCCATCTTCACGTGTCTCTTCTCTCAAAACTGGAGATTGTAATAATGAAGGACCCGCTTGTGATAAAAGAAGCAACCCACTTATTACTTTTCGGGACATCGAATCTGAAGATGAAGATTTTCTTGATGATCTTAATCAACCTCAACCTGATATTGTACGTTTAAAAAGAGAACCAGAAGTGAAAACAAGAAAAGGGGCTTGTTATCGATGTCTTAAAGGAACCAGGTTCACTGAAAAAGAGGTCTGCATAGTTTGCAATGCAAAATATTGTGTTAACTGTGTGCTTAGAGCAATGGGGTCAATGCCAGAAGGAAGAAAGTGCGTTACTTGCATTGGATATTCCATTGATGAGTCAAAGAGGGGCAAATTAGGAAAATGCTCTCGAATGCTAAAACGCCTCCTTAATAACCTTGAAGTTAGACAGGTAATGAAAGCAGAGAAACTATGTGCTATCAATCAATTGCCCTCAGAGTACGTTTGTGTAAATGGGAAACCTCTTTCTCATGAAGAACTTTCCATACTTCAAAGCTGCCCAAATCCTCCTAAAAAACTTAAACCTGGAAATTATTGGTATGATAAAGTATCTGGTCTTTGGGGAAAGGTAAATCTTTAATAATCTTTCAAAAACTTCTACATGATTACCATTTCTTTACATGGAAATTAATGATTGTTTTGATTTATATCTATCAACAGGAGGGAGAAAAGCCTTTAAAGATTATTAGTCCACATTTAAACGTTGGTGCCCCAATTATGCCTGATGCTAGCAATGGAAACACAGGTGTTTTTATAAATGGTCGCGAGATTACAAAAGTTGAGCTAAGAATGTTACAGGTTTGTATTTCTGAATTTTCAAATGATCTATTTGTTGAATTATTGATCTGATCATGTGAATTGTTAAATGTTGCAGCTATCAGGAGTCCAATGTGCTGGTAATCCTCACTTTTGGGTTAATGATGATGGATCTTATCAAGAAGAGGGACAGAAAAACACCAGAGGATATATATGGGGAAAGGTGACACCTTTTTGTAAATATGTTTCATGTTTATGTTTTCTTTGTTTTTGAATATATTTTTTTATAACATAAAGTTTTATTTCAGGCTGGAACAAAGCTGGTTTGTGCTGTTTTGTCACTACCAGTTCCATCCAAGACAATTTATCCCACTGGAGAGCAATTGAGCAACACACTTAGTCAATCAATCCCAGACTATTTTGACCAAAATGCCCCTCGGAAGCTTCTTTTAATCGGATGCTGTGGATCTGGTACAAGTACAATTTTCAAACAGGCTAGAATTTTATATAAAGAGACCCCTTTTACTGATGAAGAACGTGAAAGTATCAAGTTTATAATTCAAAGCAATGTCTATGGCTACCTTGGAATACTCCTTGAAGGGCGTGAACGTTTTGAAGATGAAGCATTGAATGATATCAAGAAAAATGATATTTCTGGTACTTAATTTTTGCTCTCATACTTCAAAGATTAATTAATTACTCTACAAATCTTGAAATTTTTTGGAAATGGTGTTGCAGAAAATGAGAAAACTTTGTATTCGATATGCCCGAGGCTGAAAACGTTTTCTGATTGGCTGCTTAAAACCATGGTGGCTGGGAATCTTGAAGACATATTCCCAGCTGCAACAAGGGAATATGCTCCTGTTGTTGAGGAACTCTGGAATCATCCAGCCATGAAAGCCACTTACAAGAGGAGAATGGAATTGGAGATGCTCCCCAGTGTTTCCAGTTATTTCTTGGAGCAGGTATGTATAACAAAAACAGTAAAATTACAAATTTAGTCCCTGTGGTATACCAGAAATTGTGGGGTATGTCCAGCTGTTTCATTTTATTGCACATGTGGATGTGGTCCTTAAAGATTAGTTTTGTTAAAAAACTTTGCAACAAAACTAATCTTTAAGAACCACTCATGCAATAACTTTTGACATACAACAGGGACTAAACTGGTAATTTACTCAAAAAAGTTAACAATGTAAGAAAACTGATTTAATAATATGTTATTGTGTGTGAATTTTTCAGGCTGTTGATATATTAAGAGCAGACTATATACCTTCAGATGTCGACATCTTATATGCTGAACATGTCACTTCTTCTAATGGTCTTTCAAGCATTGACTTTTCATTCCCTCCATTATCGCCTGATGAAACCAATGACACAACTGATCAACATAATTCTCTACTCAGGTTCGTTTTTTTTTTTAAAGTTACAATCTTTATTCTTATAACTTTGTATATTTTAAACTAAACCAGGTTCCAACTCATAAGAGTGCAAGCAAGAGGCTATGGTGAAAACTGCAAATGGCTAGAAATGTTTGAAGATGTTGGAGTAGTCATAATCTGTGTTTCCTTGAGTGATTTTGACCAATATGCAACCGATGTAGATGGAAATTTGATGAACAAAATGATCCTAAACAAGAAGTTCTTCAAGAGCATTGTGACACATCCAACATACGATCAAATGGAGTTTCTTTTAGTACTAAACAAATTTGATGTGTTTGAGGAAAAACTGGAACGGTTCCCACTAACATGTTGTGAGTGGTTCAGTGATTTTAAGCCGATAGTGAGCCGAAACAGCCACAACAAGAACATAAGTAGCAACAACATTAATCATAGTCCTTCAATGGGACAAATGGCTTCACATTATGTTGCTGTGAAGTTCAAGAAGCTGTTTGCATCAATTACTGATAGAAAGCTGTTTGTTTCAGTGGTGAAGGGGTTGGAGCCTAATAGTGTGGATCAAACACTAAAGTATGCAAGGGAGATACTTAAATGGGATGAAGAGAAACCCAATTTTAACTTTAATGAATACTCCATGTATAGCAGTGAAGCAAGCTTAGACTCCCAATGATAATGATCCCACACCCTTTAAAGACAGACATTAATGTACATAAAATGGTGGTATTCCCAATTTGATTTGGTTAGCTGTTTGGTTGGTTGAGTTGTATTATAGAATTTTAAAATGAATCAGAATTTAGGTGATGATATAAATGTATGTATGCATCTATTTTGTTTGTTTGACTAGCAAGTTAATTAAATCTTGTTTTGGTTGTGCATGTAACATGTTGCTTCTTTCATTGCATACATAGGCTACAAATTAAGCACACATGGTTTGGGTAATGATTGGAATTTATATTGATTGGTAAAGTGATTGAATGCGTATAAAGAAAATGGAGTTCTTTCACAATTGTAACATGTTGAATACAAATTTCAGCAAGCAAATCAACATATTAAACCCTAACAATGATGAACACCAACAAAATTTCCCTTTTAAAACTTGTCCAGTTAAGTAAAAAAGAAATAGTAAGCGGACAAAATCAAAAGAGCAATTACAAGATCTTAATCATTTGGGTCAAAAAGAAGAAAAAGAAAGAAAGTTAAGTTGTAGATCTAATGATGGTAACATGAAAAACATTTTGGTGTGTGTGAATCAGCTCAAAAACACAGATATGCCCAACTTTAATACCATTTTCTTTAACAAACATCCTCCAGTCACCATACCCCAAATAATCATCATCATATGCAAAAACTTCCCAAGTCTTTTGTCTTCCACCATTCGCAAGTTTAAGCAAATATTTGCTATGCTTCTTGCCACCACTCCAATACTTCTTTTTGAATTCATGTGGTACACGCTGCATCCATGGAAACAGATTAAAAACTCACTCAAGAATCAAGAATCAAGATCTTTTCCTTTTGTGGAAAGATATAAAACAATTCATTACCAGTCCTCTTTTTCTCACAAGATATGTTTTTTGGATGCAAGCCACGAAGAAAGGTTTGTGGGATTTGAAAGTAGCTTTAACTCTTCCAACTGCCAAACTCTTTCTTGAATATTCACCTCCAACTAAAATAAAATCAAGTTATTCATATTAAACCATTTGTGTTGCAAGAAATCAACACCATAAAGAAAAAAATTAATGCATTCAAACAAACCATTAATCTTGACCCTAGGGCTTTCATCTTCACTCGATGAACATGTCTCTTCTTCTATCTTTACAGTCTTCAGTTTAGTAAGTTTGACTTCTTGTGGATTCTTTCTTGACATCTCTTTTGTAGAGTTTCTGAGTGGATCTTTCTTCATAGGGGGATAAACTATCTCCAATGCACTTGTATCGAATATAATCACACCAAATATGGAAAACCCTTCGTAGTTGAACATCAACAAATGCCCAAATCCTAATCCGTAATGTTCTGCAAATTCCGGCCAACCGTTTTCCAGCCAAATCTCATCCCCCGACTTCTGTAAGTCAACTCGCCAAACGTCACCGTTTGGTACCTTCAGTATCACTCTTTCCAACAGATCTTTTCCATGCTTCTCTGTAAACTTCTTCGGCATCCTCTGTTTTATGAAAAAAAATAATAATAAATTTTTACTCATCCAGATTCTTATGTGTAAAGGAATATGAACTTACAATGCCTGTAGATTGAGTATCGTCGGAGAGAATGACTTTGAGAAAGTTGACTGGATTCTCCGGCGGACTCAAACGGCGGTGGAATTTCATGGTGTGATTTGGGAATGGGGAAAAAAGGGAAGGGTGGTGGAGCAACTTCTTGGCTCTTGGGTTTCCGGTTATCATGATTATATAGACTGCATGGCTATGAGGGACGTTTAACTTCTGCATTAGTGTTGGCTGGAGGCTTCATTAAATATGGAAGTTGCAATTATGTGCTTGTACCATCTCATTACCCAAATAGACAAATTTTTTTTTTTTTTTAACACGCAAATATAAATATAGAACCTATATCTTTAGGTTAGAAACCCTTTGACAAATAGACGATTTAGTACCTGTGAGTTTACTAACTTTTTCCAATTAACTAGATGCTACCATTACTCCATTAGGGCATGTAGTATATTTTTATGAAGGGGTTTCTTAAATAAAATAGTAGTAAATAAATAAAGGGTGCTGCTATTAAGACACCCTTTAGACACCTTGTAGACAACTTTATCAAAAATCAATCAATATATAACTATTTTTAATCAGTTTTTTCAAAAAACAATATAATTTTAACCAATAAAAATACCGTAAAAATTATATAGGATGTCTAAATGGTAAAATAAGGTGTCCATTTAGCCAACCCCATAAATAAATAAACCCGATCATTATTTTAATCTTATCAAACCTTTTAATCATTGAACTTTTTTTTATCATAATAAAGTTAATATTGATTATTTATAAAACTATTAAATTTTTTTTTTTAAAATCATTTATCTAAATTATATAAAATCATATTAATATTTATTATTGTTTTTATTTTCTGATTTATAAATCTTTTAAAATTTTGATGTTGTGATCGAATATATTACATTTAATGTTTTTTTTTTTTTTTTTTTTTTTTTACGTTTGGTATGTTGACATTATATAACGTTGTTTTTGACGTTATGATCGAATACACAAATAATTATCAATAATCCATTACAATATTTAATGTTGTTTTTTTATGTTTTGTTCGGCTATATTATTCGATTATATGTTCGTGTTTGTTTATGTATTCGGTTTTAAAGAGTTGTATACTTATTTGATAAACAAATGATCTTATACGATTCTAAATGTTACATTTTATTCGTTCACATTATTTAACTTTATAATTTAATATTAAAAAAGAATACTTTTTCAAACATCCAAACATTTATTAATGAATATTTTAATCTTGAATATAAATACATATAAGTTTTTGTATAGATTAATCCGAAACCGGCTTTTAATAATCTAAATCCGTAATGTTTTTTATAACATAGGAATGTTATTTTCTAAAAAAAAAATGGAAAGAAATATGTTAACCAGGAAATAAAACATAAGTAAAAAGTTTGAAATGTTATTAAAGTTTAAATAAAACTTGAAAAATATAAGTAAAAAAAATTTAAAAAGCATAAAAAAAAATTAATGAAAAAGTTGTAGAAAGAGTTTAAAATTTTTGACGTTTAAAATGGAATTCTAACAAATAGTAAATGAATAATAAATTGAAAATATATAGGTTAATATGAAAACGGGTTTTAAAAAATCAGATCATCCAAATCAGTAATTTTTTTACAACTTAAGGAATGTTATTTTGTTAAAAAAAATTATAAAAGTTTTTTTGTAAAATAAATAAAAAAAACATGTTAAACATGACAAAACATAAGTAAAAAATTTGAAACATTATAAAAAATTTAAAGAGAATTTTATAAAACTAAGTACAAATTAAAAAAACATGTAAAAACGAAAGGAAAAACCACATAATTTTTAAAAAGCTTACAACATTCTAATTATTCTTTTTTTAAAGAAAACGTCTAATAATTTAAATAAAAAAGTATAAAAACAATGAAAAATATTAATAAAAAGCTGTGAAGAAATTGAAAAACTTGAAACATCAAAAGTTAAAAAAAATCAATTAATTACGAATTAAAATAATAAATAAATTTTAAATTTCAAATATATATATATATATATATATATATATATATATATATATAGAGAGAGAGAGAGAGAGAGAGAGAGAGATGATTGATTGCTTTTTCCCATTTTCTCCCGTTAGACATGTTACCACATCTTATACAATAGCATCTATTGGGGGTGATGTTCTTGGTGTTAAGACGACGTTATGGAGGTGCCACATAAACCCATACCGTGTAGTGAACTACGAATCTTTGTATACTTATTTGTGAACTTTCCAAGTTTCTTTAAATTACAAGAATGTATACTTATTTGTGAACTTTCCAAGTTTCTTTAAATTACAAGAATCTAATACCAACCTCTTATATGAGGACATCGACTTATATTTAATAGGTCCAGCAATCGTATTGTGTTCGGGTTGACAGGTCAAAATACACAAATCCGAACACGACCCATTTAATTATATAGGTCACGGGTTGGTGAGTTTGGAACATAAACTCGTATACGACCCGTCAACTCTTTTATTTACATGTGTTTGCGGTTTGGCGGATCAGATTCAGGGTCAGATTCAGATTTGTGTATGAGATTCTATACATAAAGTTGATAATTAAACATGAATAAATTCCTAAAATTTAAAAAGATGCAAACATATCTAAATTTTAGAAAACTTAAGTCTTAAACATCCAAATATAAATTAAAAACATTCATGAAAACATGTCCAAACTAAAACATTAATACAAATATAGATAATTCAAATGATAATGTAATAGCAACAATTCCCATTTTTTCTTCCAAAAAGCAAAGTCTTTTGTCAATTCTCCAACACCGTTTTCTTTTTTATAATCAGATTCAACCTTCAAGTCGAAATAATATCCAAGGTTAAGTTTGCCTTCTCAAGACACATAAGTAAAAATCTATAATTGTCATTAAAAATAAATTACCAAGCGTCAACTTAAAGTTTATTAGAACTCATAACCTCTGTTTTGTCTTTGGCAATGTTCATAGTTTAACAACATCAACATGGGTATCAACCACATAAGGAAGATAAAAATAAAATATCAGTACAAAATATTAGTTTATATCAGTAAACAATAAATTATAAAATGTTATATTTTTCTCTAAACAACCAATTACTAATACAAGTTAAAGCTTCAACAATGTCAGACTTCATGGAACTTCGATATTCATTCAAAACTCTTCCACCGAGACTAAAAGTCGATTCAGATGCTACTGTTGAAACGGAAACACAACGTATATCCATAACTAATTTAGCTAATTCTGGATACCTATACTATTGGGATTGCCAAAACTCAAGCATGTTAATGGAAAAAGTTCTTTTAGTTCTTGGCTGAAGAATGTATACTTGCAATTGACTTTTTTTGGTCGAATCCAAATCATCATTATCGTATTCATCAAACTTCTATTTTATTAAATATAATATAAAAATAATTATAATATATTTAAAAACAAAAAAAAAACATAAAAAGCAAATATCATGATAAAAAGATTTACCTCAAGAATATTGTTATTAGAGCCTCCTCCAACATTTACAACACTAACTTGTCGAGAATTAATGTCGCCACTGCCTCCTCCAACATTTCCAACACTACCTTGTCGAGAACCTTGCATGCATTCATATAAAAAGTGCAAAAGTGCCTCATCAATCTTCTTTAATTGCGATGAATCTTCACCTTACAACTTTTTATAGCTAAACTCAATAAAAAAAGAACTTATATCGCAAATCAAACACCATAGCTATACCCAACATAAAATTGAAATCAACTCAATATTTGCTAAACTTAGTCTACATTTGAGTAGCTATTTTTTCATATACTCATCAGAACCGACTTTCGTTTCAACCAACTTCAAATGTATTCCAAATATTTGAGGGAAATACAAATTTAAAGTAGGATAAAGAGATCCTGAAAATTGAAGAGTTGCTTCACGAAACACATTAAGAAAATTACACATTTTCTCAACTCTTTCCCATTCATCAAAGGACGTGCATGTTTGAAAGTTCGAATCACTCAAGCTCAAATGAGAAAAGGCAAGAGTGCAACGAGGAAGGAAGTGCAACGCATGCTCGCAACAACCACAAATCGACGAGAGTGCAACGACCTAGCGGTGGCAACCAGCGAGCTGGAGAAGGCGTTCAAGTTCAACCGACACTCAGAATTAAGACGATCAGTTGTTGTTCATCACTTTCAGTGCAACGTCGCTCTTATTTCGTTTTTGATTTTGTGTGCATTAGGAATTAGGGCAAAGGTGCAATTCAACAATTGCTATTTGTTAACAGGTTAATGGAAGCTGGGAAAGGGAGTAAGCCGTGGGTCAACATTTACAAGTCCTGGTCAATGGTCAATATCATCGCATCCTACTTAAAAGTTCACATTTAAAAAATATTTTTTTTTTATTAAAATCCTAAACGGTTTGGCGGGTCAATCAGAATTTTTTTTTCTGGCAAACCCATATACGACCCGTTTAATAAACTGGTTGGTGAGTTGAAAAACTCAACTCAAACTTGTTTATCTTCATGTCAGGTCACGGGTCTTGTCGAGAATTTCTAGGCCTAATATTTAAGATGGATTTGAAGTGGAGGAACAAAATGGAAGGAGACCTTTCTTAAATATATCGACATATTGAGAAGCGGTAGAACGTGTAGAACTCAAACTTGTCCTAAAGCCACATTAACAAAGTGAATGTTAATCTCAATGTGTTTTATACGATGATTTTGAACATGGTTATTGAACAAGTATACGACACTAACATTGTCACAATATACAGTAGTAGCAGTCGGTGGTGGACGATGAAGCTCAAGCACAAGACTGCAAATCCAACATGTTTTTGCTACTCCATTAGCAACATCTAAGCCCCACTTCACTCCACACCAC